AAGGGGAACAGACAAGTTGCTGTCCTTTTGTTCTTCAGTCTAGTTGTGGAGGACGTTGCTTCACTGGCCCAAGTTGGCACCATCATTGCGCTCTTTCCGGGCGAGGCAGATCATTCGCTGGCTTCTGGACGGCTGCTCACAGCGGCTGCTGGCCGCTCACAGTAGCCCATGGCAACGCACTGAAGCAGGGGCTGCAGCCTACGACATCACTGGCGATTTACAGCAGCCCAGCTCCAGGTTGAGCTGTTGTTCAGCATCTTAGCTATAGAGGGCAGTGTCACTGGCCCTCATATGTGGCATCCAAACTGGGGCCCTGTGGCGTCCCAAGCCAGCTCTTAACCAATGCACCACTCGTCCAGCCCCTATTTTTAATTTTTTGAGGAACCCTCCATACTGTTTTCCATAGTGGCTACACTAATTTACAATCCCATCAAGGGTTCCTCACTAACACCTATTTGTTGATTTGTTGATGATTTCCATTCTGACAAGTGTGAGGTGATAGCTCGTTGTGGTTTAATTTGCATTTCTCTAATGATTAGTTGAGCACCTTTTCATATATCTGTTGGCCATCTATACGTCCTCTTTGGCGAAATGTTTGTTCAGGTCCTCTGCCCATTGTTTAATTGGATTGTTCATTTTTTGGTGTTACGTTGTATTAAGTTCTTTATATATTTAGGATATTAACCCCTAATTGGATCTATCATTTGCAAATATCTTCTCCTTTTCAGTAGGTTGTCTTTTAACTTTGTTGATGGTTTCCTTTTCTGTACAAAAACTTTAGTTTAATGTAGTCCCATTTGTTTATTTTTTTCTATTGTTACCCTTGCCCAATGAGACATCCAAAAAGATATTGCCAAGAGTGATGTCAGAGAGTTTATTGCCTATGTTTTCTTCTAGGAGTTTCATAGTCCCTGGGCTTACATTTAAATCTTTAATCCATTTTGAGTTTATGTTTGTATATGCGTATAGTGTAAGTAAGTGGTTCAATTTCATTTTTTTATCTGCCCAGTTTTCCCAACACCACTTATTGAAGAGACTTTACTCCATTGTTCTTGCCTCTTTTGTCATAGGTTAATTGATCATATAAGTTTGGGTCTTTTTCTGGGCTCTCTATTCTGTTCCATTTATCTGTGTGTCTGTTTTATGCCACAGTTTGATTACCATAGCCTTGTAGTATAGTTTAATCAGGTAGTGTGATGCCTTAAACTTTGTTCTTCTTTCTCAGGATTGCTTTGGCTATTTGGGGTCTTTTGTGGTTCCATATAAATTTTACGATTATTTGTTCTAGTTCTGTGGAAAATGCCATTAGTATTTAGAGACGGATTGCATTCAATCTGTAGATTGCTTTTGGTAGTATGGACATTTTAACGTCCTATATGTGAGCACAGTTTGTTTATTTGTATCTTCTTCAGTGTCTTATAGTTTTGCAAGTACAATTCTTTCATCTCCTTGGTTAAATTTATTTCTATTTTATTTTTTTGATGCAATTGTAAATGGGATTGTTTTCTTAATTTCTCTTTCTGATAGTTCTTTATTGGTGTATAAAAAATGCAACTGGTTTCTGAATATTAATTTTGTATCCTTTACTGAATTCGTTTTAATAGTTTTTTGGTGGAATCTTTAGGGTTCTCTACCTATAATATGTCATCTGCAAATAATGACAATTTTACTTCTTCCTTTCCAATTTGGATGCTTTTTTTTTTCTTGTTTGCTGTGGCTACGACTTCCAGTACTATATTGAATAAAAGTGGTCAAAGTGGACATCCTTGTCTTGTTCCTGACCTTAACAAAAAAGTTTCCAACTTTTCACCATTGAGTATGATGTGGGTTTGTCATATATGACCTTTATTATTTTATGTTCCCTGTAACCCCACTTCCCTGAGAGTTTTTATCATAAATGGATGTTGGAGTTTGTCAAATGATTTTTCTGCATCTATTGATATGATCATATGATTTTTATTCTTCAGTTTGTTTATGTGGTATATTCCATTAGTTGATTTGTGGATTTGAACCAATCTTGCCTCTAGGAATAAATCCCACTTGATCATAGTGTATGATCTTTTTAATGTATTGCTGAATTCGGTTTGCTTATATTTTGTTAAGGATTTTTACATCAATGTTCATCAGGGATATTGGCCTATAATTTTCTATTTTTGTAGTGTCTTTGTCTGGTTTTGGTTATCAGGGTAATGGTGGCCTTGTAAAATGATTTGGGAGCCTTCTTTCCTATTCAATTTTTTGGACTAGTTTAAGAAGGATAGATATTAATTTTTTTCTTTTTTAAGATTTTTATTGGGGAATTGGGGAAGGGAACAGTGTTGGGGAATTGGGAAAGGGGAACATTGTATTTTTCCAGGACCTATCAGCTCCAAGTCAAGTTGTTGTCCTTCAATCTTAGTTGTAGAGGGCGCAAGCTCAGCTCCAAGTACAGTCGCTGCTTTCAATCTAGTTGCGGGGGGCGTCCACCATCCCATGCAGGAGTCAAACCCCCAGCCTTGTTGCACACTGAGCCATCCAGCCACTGCCACCCATCGGCAGCTTGCAGCTGGCTGCTCAGCTCAAGGTGCCATGTTCAATCTTAGTATGGGGGGGGGGCACCGCCCACCATCTCATACGGGTGTCGAACCTGCAACCTTGCTGCAAGAGTACACGCTCTCACCAGCTCAGCAACAGCTCAGCTTGGGCGCAGCTCACTGGCCCATGTGGGCATCAAACCGGTGGCCCTGTTGTTCAGAGCTCGTGCTCTTTAACTCTTAACCAACTGAGCCACTTGGCCAGCCCAAGACTTTAAATTCTTTATCTGATAGTTCATAGATCTCCATTTTTTTAGTATCTGTTCCTAGAGCTTTATTAGTTTCCTTTGGTGGTTTCATATTTACCTGGTTTTTCATGATCCTTGATACCTTATGTTAGTATTTGTGCAGGTTCACTTTGGCAGAGACAGTTCTTCACCAGCTAGTTCAGCTTAAGGTTTCTGGACATGTCTGCGGGTAATGTCCTTGGGCCGGTGGGGATTGCTGTTAGGTCTGTCTTTGGGCATGGCAACTGTTTGAGCTTGGGGCTGGCTTGGTTCCCTCCCCATGTGAGTCTGTAGAATGGGCTTCATGGTTGCCTGGATTCTCTGGTCAGGCTTACTAGATGGTCGGGACCGGACACTTCTTAGCAGTAGACAGGGCTATGAATTAGCTTCCCTGCCCTGGTGAGGCAATGGGAGACCCAGAGCTCATTTGGACTCAAATCAGTGTACATTGTACAGCTTGGTCAGGTAAGGCCACTGCTTTTGCTCTGCAGACAGGAAAAGCCATGTTCTGTGCTTTCTGTTCCAGTACCACTATAAACAGGGCTGTTGGATGGGATACCCAGCTTCCTGTTTGTTCTGGTAAGGTTCCCTGGTTGGTGTGAAGGCTGTATTCAGCACTAAATGGGGCTACGAATTAGTTTTCATTCCTGGGCTCAACAGGAAAAGCAGCTCTAAGGCCACTAATGTTCTTTGTGACTTTGACTCAAGCTGCTTTGTGCCCCAAGCTTCCTGGCCAAACAGGGCCACTGGCTCTGCTCTAGAGGCAGTCAGCTCTGCCCGTCCTCCTTCCGCTCAGCTACAGGGTGGGACGCATGGATTCAGGTGTTCATGCCAGCCCTTCATTCAGGTGCCATACTGCAGCTTTCGTGCCTGGGAAGACCAGGCTCCAGGGTGGGCAAAACTCCTCATCTAGGGACCTGGATTAGGTGGCTCTGTACCCCCACCAAGTTCCTTGGTCAGACTGTGCCCTTGACTCGGGTCTACAGATGAGCAAAGCCCCTGGTTGGGACTGCTAGTTGGCAGATCTAGTTCCTACTTGCAGAGTCCAAGATCTGAGTGCTGGTTGTTGGAAGCTCCCCTACCCCTTCTCCATCACAATCATTCCCAGTGGTTGAACACAGGTTCACCTGCAATCCCCGTGAGGCAAAACCAGAATAGGGGCTCCTGCAAAGTGATGACCCACAACTTTGGGGGTGTTGAATATCACCCCTCGGCGCTTTTTTCCCTCCAGAAGAACCATAGGCTCAGCATGGTGCTGCTACAGCTTGGGGGAGGTGTTACAGTTAGCATGTACCCTTTTGTTTTATCTTTTTAATGCAGTCTGTCCTGGTCTCAGGTGTTTGAGCTTCATACTTATGTTTTAGGTTTCGCTCCATGGTGCCTTACCCATGAATAGTTCTTTTGAGGGGGAATGAAATCAGAAACTACCCCTGTCACTGTCTTGATAATGTCCCTTTCCTTACTTTATAGATTTTTATTCTTTTTTCTTCTGTTTTGGTGGGATTTCAATGGGGGAACCAAGATAAGTGCTGTGTTCACCTACAAGACTGTGAGCCATGGTTCTTGATGGGGATCGTGGCCCTGAGGTGAGCGCAGAGGGGTGCTGACCTGTAACAGGCTGTGTGTGTGCTGGCTTGCAGGTGACCCTGTGGAAGGAGTCCGTGGACGGGCAGTGGGTGTGCATCAGTGACGTCAACAAGGGCCAGGGCTCCGTGTCTGCTTCAGTCACAGAGGGCCAGCAGAACGAGCAGTGACAAGACAGGTGGGGCCTGGCTCCCCATCTTCCGACTCCAGGACTGCCCCTTCCTAGGCCAACTGACCAAACAGCTGGGAGGAAGCGCCCCCAACTCCAACAAGATAACTTTCCCAGGAGTAGTTAAAACTGCAACCAGATGGATCATCTGCCTTAACGTGATTTGATATGGTTTGTAATTTACTGTCCGGTTGAAAGTGTTCATGTTATAAGAAAAAAACTACAAATGATCTTCAAATCTATTGTTTTAAAATAGTTTTGGCCATCTTTATGTACCTTTTGGGTTCAGGAATTATTTGGGGGGTTTTGTGTCCAAAGTAATTAAACATATTGCTTATAATTCTCCCTACCTTATCCTCCCTAAAAAGCTCATTTTAACTTTTGTTGGGTCACTGTGCTGGAGCAACTTTCACCAAGACTCAGGTCCCTGTTGGCCGACTTAAACCTACCCACAGAGCTGGGCTGTCACTGTGAGCATCCTGTGATCCAGTTTATACAGAAGGCACCGTACAAAGCACTATAAGGGGAGAGCTAGACTTGGACTTGAGTTACAGGGACTGTAACCCTGGCTCTGCTCTGCTACTTGTCCTCTCTGAGCACACATCCTCTCATTCTGTGGAACGAGACTAATAAAGCCTGATCTACAGAATGGTTACAAGACTCAAATGAGCTAATGCATGCAAGTGACCCACAAAATGCCATGCTCATGCAGGGTAGTTTTAACCAAATACCAAGAGTTACGAGACTGGCCAGAAAAGAGGGCATGATTCATTCCATTAATTGACCCTGTCTGTGATGGGGGAGGGGGACCTGTAATGGAGACCATGGTTCTGGTCCTAATTAACCCTGAACAAACATCACCTTTTAGCAGAGGCCCTGGGACCCTCACCTGAATCAGCAGTCACAACAATAGCTGCCATTGACTGGGACCATCTATGAGCTGGCACTACACTTGGATCTTTCACACATTAAGCAACATAACAAGCTTAAGATATATATCCCAGTTTACTGAGGAACTGGCACAGAAGGGAAGAGACCTGCCCAGAGTTGTCCACTGCCAGGTGGTAAAGCCAGTGTTTGCGTCCCAATCCATCTCAACTCCAAAGTCAGTACTCTCAGAGTAGAATCAGGGAGGGGACGTGGGGGTCCTCAGCTGTAATGTAGGGGTAGTGATCATACCAGATTTTTATATGAATACACTTAGAGAAAAATAAAAGGTCAAATACAGATGATAAAACATAAAAAAGGGGAAAAAAATAAAATGGTCAAGCCACTCGCCTCAGAAAGCTGTGTGCACAGTAAGTGTTCTCCCTGCTCCTCACCTTCCTTTGTTTCTCAGCAGCAAAACCTATTATATTTTGAAATCATAGATCATAATTCATAAAATGGGACAAAGTGGAACTACTTTGAAATGAGGATAGAGAGGCCATGGCCGAGTCCACTCAGCCTCCAGAAGATCCCCGCACAATACACAAACATGTCTGAGAGATCCACATTGAAACATCTGATGGGGTGTAAACAGGAGGAGGGAAAGGAGACGTGCAGGCGGGCGCCGCGGATGCAGCCTGGACCTCACTGCTGTCCCAGGAGAGGGGAGGAGTCAAAAATATTCAGAAAAAAAAAATTCCGAAAACGTCCAAAAATCTAAACTTGAATTTGCCACATACTGAAGCCACACACAGAACACTATGCTGAATCCACTGGAATGATGTGTAGGCATACCCTGCTGTAGCCTATATGGTGATACAGGTTATATGCAATTACCACATCATGTTATATAAAGGACATGGCCATCTGCAGATTTTGGTTATCCACAGGAGGTCCTGGAACCAATCCCCCACAGATACTGAGAGATGACTATAAGGTCCGCCAACTTATCAAAAAATAAGCAAACCATATTAACATCTTTGAAGTGCTGAAAGGAAAAAAAATCAGCCTATAATTTATACTTAGTGAAAATATCTTTTAAAAATAAAGGTGAGAGAGGCATCAGCATGATGTCAGAGACAACCCTTTTGTCATCTCCCTGTAAATTTACAACTAATCAGACTTCTGTAATCCGACAAAGGTTCCACTGCTCAACACACAGGACACCTGAGAGACCCACACATCGATAAATCTGAAGGTGGACATATTGGAACACGGGAGGCAGTACGGGGGGAAACAGGGACAGTGCCCACAGATGGAGTTCCCATGCTCCCCTGGCTGAGTCCCCAGCCCCAGCAAATGCAGTAGTGATGCAGGATTTGGGATGTGGCCCCCATACCACACCTGGCGGAGGGTACAGGCAGCAGCACCCCAGAATGTGGCTCCCTTCCCCAAGTGCAGCCAGAACCCAATAGTAGCAGCAGAGATGCATCTACAGCCTCCTGCGGTGCTCACAGCCATAGGGAACCAGGTGGCAGCACTACAGGCTTGCAAACCTGCCTCCCCCCACCTGCCACGTTCCTCCACCATGGTGGTGGTGCCCTGAGACCCAGGCAACATACACAAGTGAGGGAACCCACCACACGACCACAGTGACACCACCCACCCACCCGGCCACAACCCGGGAGGTGCAAGTAATGCAGGTAAGACAAAACAAAAACTTGTATTATAGCCTCATTGACTGGAAAACAAAAGAAAAACCTCTGTCAACTTGCTCAGTTGTTAAAACGGTACCTAATGAAAGCATTTCAAAGGTACCAACAAAGAAACAATCCCTCAAATACAACATGAACAAATACAACATGAACAATCAATGTAACATGGTAACAGAAAAGGACAAGTTTCCAGAATGCAAACAGCAAAGTCCTGGAAGATTGTGATCTAAAGGATAGAGAATTCAAAATAGCAGTCATGAAGAAACACAACAACTGAGAAAACTCAGAAAGGCAGTTCAGTGAGATCAGGAATAACTTAATGAACAGAAAGAGTACTAAAGAGATTGAAATTATAAGAAAGAACCAAACAAATTCTAGAGCCAAAGAACTCAATAAATAAGATGAAAAATACATTAGAAAGCATTGGAAGTAGAGCAGACCATATGGAAGAGAAAATTAGCAAGCCTGTTCAAAGTAATAACTGATGTGAACTTCCCAAACATAAGGAAGGAACTGGACATTCAAGTACAAAAAGCTAATGATACACCTAATTATCTCAATGCAAAATGCCCTTCTCCAAGACATATTATGTCAAAACTGGCAAAAGTTAATGATAAAGGATTCTCAAGGAAGCCAGGAGGAAAAACAGTAACCTAAAAAGGAGACTCCATCAGGTTATCAGACTTCTCAGCCAGGAGAGAGTGGAATGATATAGTCAAAATACTGAAAGATAGAAACCATCAGCCTAGAGTCATGTATCTTGCAAAATTATCTTTCAGATATGAAGGAGAAATAAAGGCTTTCCCAGACGCACAAAACAGGGAATTTACCACCACACACCTACATTATAAGAAATGTTGAAAGGAGCCCTTCTACTTGAAACAAAGAGACAAAGTACATAAAATTTTGAGTAAGGTGACAGACAGATGCAGAAAGAAAACTACAACTCTATTTCAGAATAAGGTGTTAAAACAGTTAAATATAAAGGTTAAAGGGGAAAAAAGCATTAAAAATAGCTATACCTATTTCAATTTGGTGATGAACACAACATAAAAAGGACTATTTTATCTGAGACATTTTATACAAACCTCATGATAACCACAAAAAAATTCCAGAGGTGAAACATAAAACATTAAAAAAGAGAGGTGGCAGGATGGCTCAGTTGGTGAGAGCACGTGCTCCTAACAAGGTTGCCTGTTTGATGGTGGGCTACGCCCACCTGCAACTAAAGACTAAACTCCTTGAGCTGAGCTGCCTCCCGGATGGCTCAGTGGATAGAGTGTGGGCTCTTAACAACAAGGCTGCTGGTTCGACTCCCACATGGGATGGTGGCTACGCCCACCTGCAACTAATTGAACTCAGCACCTTGAGCTGAGCTGGCTGTGCCCTCCACAACTAAGATTGAAGGACACAACTTGGCTGTTCCCCTTCCCCAGCTCTCCAATACTGTTCCCCTCCCCCAATTCCCCAATAAAATCTAAAAAAAAAAAAAAAGCAATAGCTTTGATGAACATAAACATAAATCCTCAACAAAATTCTAGCAAATCAAATACAATAATTTATTAAAAGGATCACACACCACGATCAAATGGGATTCATTTCAGGGATGCAAGGATGGTTCATTTTGTTTGTTCATCCCAGGGATCCACAAATCAATCACAGTGATACTCCACATTAATAAAATGAGGGACAAAAATGTTCATATCAATAAATGCAGGAAAAGCATTTGACAAGATACTATCCATTTATAATAAAAACTCAGTGAAATGAATATAGAAGGAAAGTACCTCAAATAATAAAGGCCATATAAAACTCACAGCTAACATAACAGTGAAAAACTTAAAGCTTTTCCTCTAAGATCAAGAATAAGACAAGGATGGGCCGGCCAAGTGGCGCGATGGTTAAGAACTGGCCTGGGAAGCCAGAGGGCCCCAGTTCGGATCCCACATATGAGGGCCAGTGACACTGCCCTCCACAGCTAAGATGCTGAACAACAGCTCGACCTGGAGCTGGGCAGCCGTGAGTCGCCGGCGCCGGTGACGGCATAGGCTGCAGCCCCTGTGGCAGTGGGTTGCCATGGGCTACCGTATATAGCCAGCAGCCAGCGTGAGCGGCCAGCAGCCAGCGTGAGCGGCCAGCAGCAGCTGTGAGCGGCCGTCCAGAAGCCGGCGACTGATCTGCCTTGCCCAGGAAGAGTGCAATGATGGTGCCAAGTTGGACCAGTGAAGCAACGTCCTCCACAACTAGACTGAAGAACAAAAACGACAGCAACTTGTCTGTTCCCCTTTCCCCA